GGCGGCCGCGTCGCGCGCACTGGCCGGCTCGGCTCTCCGTGCGCTCCGGGATCTCCATGGGCAGGCTGGCCCCTGGCACCCACCAGGCCGGAGCCCGAGCCTTATATAGCTCCCGCGGCCCGCTGCATCTTTACACGCTCGCGCCCTCTCCGCCCATCTCTCCCCTGCCGGCCGCGTAAACAAAAAGGGAGCGCGTGAAGGCGTCGCGGCCTGAACCCCGGGGCGAACGCGTGCAATGCCCAAATGGCCCGGGAAGCGGTTTGCCGAGAGAGTGTTAATCGCTCTTCGACACTTGGCTGCGGGGAGTGGGGGACAGCGTTCGCCCGAGCAGACAAATTCTAAGTGAAGAGACTAGGAGGGGTTAAAATTAAGCAATTCTACACGTTTTGTGTATTTCTGCAAAAAAAGACCAAGTGGCAGCTAATTGCTTGACTGGCCCAGTCTCACCACTTTTGGCCTTCGGCAAATACAGCTGATTCTGGACTTCTTACAAAAGGAAGATCAGATTTGGGGGGTTTGTTTCTTTAACGTATTGAAGGACTAGTTTCCTAATCTGCTGTTACTAATTGAAGATAAAAGATTCCCAAGAGTTGGATTGTGAAAGACTGAGTGTTCCAACCTAGAGGGCCAGAGACTGGAGCCGTGCGATTTGGGCATGTATCTCTGCTCTCTCTTCCTGAATCTTTGTGATTTTCCCCAGGTCCTTATCTTCCTCCGAAGATAAGTCTTGAGTTTCATTTGTACAATTCTGTGACTGTTGGCATTCTGTCACTCAATGATAATTAGAAATGTCTTTCGTGGGTGTTGGGTGTGTGTAGAATAATAATGAAATCTTGGAAAGTTATGATGTGGGACAAGTTAGTCAGCCTCTCTGTGCCTTTTTCTCTTATTTAAGTTACCCCTTACTTACCACGAAGGTCCATTAAACTTGGTTAAAAAAAATGTTATGCTTCAAAGGAAAGATGATATATAAAAGTCATAATTTTTACTCAAAATATTTTGAATAACAGAGCTGAACTTTCTCTTGAAAGTTGTGGATACAAACCCCGAAAGTAAGCAACAGCGTCTCTGTTATTCTTTCAGTTACTGCGTAAGAAAGTAATCCTTCTAATTAATACCCCAGGGCCTATAATGATCAGGAAGGTGAGATTGGTTTGTTTCAGTTAATGAAATCAGTAAGGATAGGTATCTAATGCATGTCTCAGGGCCCTAGAATTATGGTTAGGCTAAATAAAACAAAACTTACAGAATGCTTGCTACAGTGCCTGACACACAGTAAGCTCTCACCAAATTCTAAGCTATATAAAAAATAGAAGCCCTTAACAAATACTAAGCTATCTGATGAAATGGCTTATCATTTCAGTTTTGTAAACATCATTAAGATGTCTGTATTGTGCTAACTGGGGTGCTTTCCAGATATAATTGTGAATAAGATATCTCCCTATTCTCAAGAGGATTACTGTCATTGTGATCTATGGCCATCACAATAGCCACTTAAGGAAGGTTTTTTTTTTAATTGCCACATTCAATAACAAAAGCACATTTTAAGCAGAGAAGTAGTACAAGGGAGAGAATTGATAAGTCTTTTTGGGACAACCCAGAAAGCCTTCTTAAAGTAAAAGAAACCTAAATTGGGATTTCTAGAAGGATCAGTTGAGAAATAGTGTAGTCTGTGTGTGTGGTGCAGGAGTGGGAGCAGAAGGAACAGTGCTTCCAGGGCTGGGGTACTGCTGAAGCAGAGATGTGGCTGAAGAGATAGAAGGGGCTAGGACTATTGAGAGTCAAATATACCATGTTAAAACATTTCAGCTTTGTTCTGGAAGCACAGGTGAGAGATTTTAAGCAGGAAAGTGGAGTGATCAAAGTTTTCATTTTATAACAGTCACTCTGGCAGCCACATACAGGGAAGACAGATTTAGGGAAGTCTGATCCTGGAGACAAGGAAGTCATTTACAAACTCCTAGCAGTAGTTCAGGGAACAGATAATGAGAAGCTATGTACTAAGGATGGGAGTGAAAGAATGTATTTGAAGGATACTTAGAAATAGAACCTCCAGGACTACCTGAATCCTAAAATGTGGGTAGACGTGAAAGTGAAGTCTACATGTGTTTCCAAGTTTGTAGCCTGCTGAGGTGGGTAGATGGTGATGGCTCAAAGAAAGATGCAGAAAATGGGACGTGGGAGGAAGAGCAGGTGAGATGCTTTTATGTTCTTTTATTCTGTTAATAGTGCTCAAGGAAAAAAACAATCAATTTGGTTTGGGATCTTGAATCAGTCAGGTTGGGCTAGGCTAGACGGCAATAACAAATGACTCCAAACTCTCACAATTGTAAAATAATAGAGCTTTGTTTCTCACTTAAGTTATATGTTTCTTTTTGCTTGGTGGGAGATCACTGCACATCATCTTCACTGAAGGACAGAAGCCTGTGGAGACTCTTTCCTCTGGAACATTGCAAGTTGTCATAACATAGGGGGAAGGGAATAAAATTAATACATTTTAGAAGGCTTAGGAAAACATACATTGAGAAAATATCCAGAGGACAACCGGAAATATGAGATCTGGAGTTTAGGAGAGATTTTAGGGCTAAAGATTTAAATGTGGGAATTGTTAAAAAGGAAGCAGAAATTAAAATGACAGTAATTAATTAGTTCTCCCATAGAAATTTGGTAAGCTTGACAACAGAACCAAGGACAGAGCTCTGGAAAGCAACATTTGATTTTCAAGTGAGAGAGTATGCAAAAAAAATCATAAAACAAAACAAATAAACAAACAAACCCTCTGGGTAAAGGAATGGGGAAGGTGTAGAAGGAGCATTTACAGAACAAGTGTGGTGGAAACATGGGATGAAAGAATTCCAGCAAGGAAGGAAAGGCCCAAGATATTAAGTGCCACCAAGGAGTCAAACAAGATAAAGACACATGTTAATTAACTGTGGCAATGAAGGGGTTTTAAGTACCTGTAAAAAAAATCTTGAGTGTGTGTATGGAAGCTTTTTTACAGTAAGTTGAGCTCTAGAGGTGAAAAAATAAAAACAGTGGGATGAGGTTACCCGTGTACAGGAGAAAAGAGAGAGAAGGGGACTGCTGGGTCAGTCAAGGGGTTTTGTTTTTAGGGTGCAAGAGGCAGGAGAATGTTTATAAGATGAAGAGAAGAAGAAGGAGGGGAGAAGCCTCTAGAGAGAGGACACTGGATGATGGGCTCATGGTCCCATAGGAGGAAGGAAGCTTGGAAAGCCATAGCCTTGGGGAGGAATCTCCTGAGGCTGGAGCGTGCCGCTCAGTGATGGTAGTAATCCAGGTCTGGGAACACTCAAGAAACAAGTTTAATGAGGGTGACTAGATCTGATGTGGGGAAGGATGGGTGGAATGTAATGAGACATAAATCCAAGAAAATGCCAATTGTCTTAAAATAGTGGGGGAAAAAAAGAGAGAATTAATTTCTATAAGGAAAAAAGGGAGAACCAATTGATAAAAATAGGGCAAGATTTATACTTAATTGTATTTTGGTAAACTGAGGAACAGAAATATGAATGATTAGAGCTGGGAGATCCTAAATATTCCATTTATAAATTTCTTCCATTTATGCCACCTATTTATACAGACATTGAAGCTGATCTCCATTGTGGCAATGACCAGTCAATATTCTTGTTACATTTTAAATTAATTTTAGAATTCTATATGAGATCACTAGTACATTTAAATTATGTGCTTTTTAAATTGAGATAATTCACATATAAAATTATATTCTTTTGAAATGTACAGCATAATGACTCAATGTATATATATTGCAAAATTATCATCACAATAAGTTTCATTAACATCCATCACCACACATAGTTACAGAACTTCTTTTTTCTTGCGATGAGAACTTTTTTTTCATTTTTTTAAAACATTTTTTATTGAGGTATAGTCTTTTTACAATGTTTTGTCAAATTCCAGCATTGAGCACAATTTTTCAGTTATACATTAACATACATATA